AGCAAACTGTGCCAGAGAAGGGGCTGACTTCCTGATTTTGTAATCAACATTGCTGACAGAACACAGGAATCCTTCCAGAATTCCTGAACTCCATGTTGTATATTCCACTTGCCTGCTCAGCTTCTCCACTCCGGTGTCTAAGGGACAAAGCTAGTGTTCTCCAGCAAACTCTGCAGCTTCCCCTCCGCCTTGTTCTCCTCCCAGCCTTACCCATCCTGCTTAATGCCAGAACCATCCTTCCTAAACCTCGGAATCAAAACCACATCCAGTCCATGGAAAATCCTACTGAGTCCATCTTCAAGGTCCATCCGCAGTCTAATCACTTTAATTGTCTTCAAACACAAGCTGCAGGGCGTTAGAAAGCTTCCAAACCAGACTCCTACTAACTTTTCCTCTTCCTTGGGCTATTCTCACTGGGCCAGTCATCAATTTCTTTAAAAAAATAAATTAGTAGTTCTGGCTACGGGGGAGGCTGAGGCAGGAGAATCACTTGAGCCCAGGAGTTGGAGAGCAACCTGGGCAGCGCATTGAGACACTATCTTCAAAGTTGTTGTTGTCGTCGTCGTCGACATAGTCATCGTCATATCACAACATACTCAGCTTACAAACCACCTAAAGCCCCCACCATGTATTCATAATATATATAACAACCTCCAAGGCCCTGCCCAACCTGGTGCATTTGGCATCATATACACCTTTCCTTTCCTACTTTTTACTCCTTTGCAAACCTATACCCACCACCTGGCCTCTTGTTTTCTTCTTCTCCTTCTCCTTCTCCTTCCCCAGCCCCTTTCAATTTTTATTTTGAGACAGGGTCTCCTAAGTAGCTGAGGGCCTTACTAAGTTGCTGAGGCTGGCTTGGAACTTGCAATCCTCCTGCTTCAGCCTTGAGAGTCCTTGGGATTATAGGCATGTGCCACCATACCAGGCTGGTGGCCTCTTGTTCTTGTTCTGTGTGTGTGTGTGTATGTGTGTGTGTGGTGTGAGTTACTGGGGATTGAACCCAGCAGCACTCTAACTAAGCTACATTCCCAGCCCTTTTTATTTTTTATTTTGAGACATGTTTTTGCTAAGCAGCCAAGTCTGACGTTGAACTTTTGCTCCTCCTACCTCAACATTCCAAGTCACTGGAGCTACAGGTATGCAACACTATGCCTGGCCTTCTTACTCTTCTTTGAATACGCGAATACACGTGCTCCTATTTCAGGGCCTTTGCACTTGCTGTTATCTTGACCTCAAGTACTCTTTCTTTCCCTCAAATATCATAAAACACATTCACAAATTTTTGGTACTCTTTCCTCTAAAAGTGGAGCCTAATCCTTCTCCCCCTGACTTAATGGCTGAGTCCTAAGGGCTAGACTAAAGCAGACTTGTTAGTGTGGGGTTTTAGAGGCCACATCATAAAAGGTGCAGGAGCCTTGGATGGCTCACACTAGAGAAAGCTACTTACCACCTCAGAAGGAACCTTCTGGTAACTCTGTGGAGAGGTGTGTGGTGAGAAAATGAGGCCTCCTATCAATAGCCACCTGGAAGCAGATGGTCCAGCCCCAGTCACACCTGCACACACCTGATAAGCCACTCCCACATTCCTGACCCTCAGAAACTGTGAGAGATAATAAGTCTTTGTTGTTCTAAGCTTCTAAGTTTGGGGGTAATTTGTTACGCAGTATTAGATAATACCTTGCTTCCTCATTCCCTTCAATCTTTTGCTGCAGCGTTGTGTCACCTCTGCAGAGATGCCTTCCATACCTACTCTGTTTCAGCTGGAATATTGCAGCTATTTGATTTAGTGCTTCCTAAAGCCTTGGAACACTCTGTTCCATTTACATATTTATTGTCTTTTCCTCATTGAAATACTCTTAAGTTCCTAAGGGCAAAGAGTTTTATCTGTCTTCCTTATTGGTACATGATAAGCATTCAATAAATATTTGCTGAATGAATAAATGAATGCAGGTATCCACTTCATCCCCCTGTTTTCGCTGATGGAATTTGAGGCTCATCCAATTTTTAAACCTTGACCTGATGCCATTTTTCAAAGGATTGTCTGGGCTTATCTTTTCTCACTGCCACATGGGCTAGGGAAGATCCCCTGTTTGGGGGGAGTGACAAAGTCTCCCAGACTCTTTCCTAAGACTATGTCTACTATGAAGACAGGCACTTTGAAGCCTGGTGGGCGTGTCCTTCATTTTTGACTGATGATCAGTTTTCAAGGAGTTTAATTTAGCCAAAATGAGTTCCACAAGACCCAAGCAATCCAAGCAGCAGATATCCCAACAGGAGGCTAATCTGATTGTCCTTGGTGCCAGGACGCTGAAGTTTGTCATGGGTGGCGAGCCCGCAGTCATGTGGCACCAGAGGGGCAGCTGTATCAACAGGCTTCTTACAGGTCTGCACAGGACTTGACCACAGATTGACTTTCAAATAAGGGAGAAGGGAAGAATGAGTAGGGAAAGGGAATGGAAGCCCTCTTGTGTGATGAAGAGTTGTGAGCCAGCCTGAGACAAATCTTATAATGTGGGCCTGAGTTCTTAGAAAGCCCAGTGCCTGCTGATATTGTGCAATTGCCATTGGGGCTCTCTGCTCATTAGCTGGGTAGATCTTGCTGATCTTCCAGAAGGTGGTGTATCTTGATACTTTGACCAGGATATCTCCACCCCAGATATGGATGACTGCAATGTCCTTGAGATACAGTGCTTTCATTGTTATAATGATCCATATGATCCCCCACCTGGCATCATCAAACAATGTAATAAAAAACTATTTTTTTTGAATTCACAATATTGTTTGTCCTCTGGACACCAGGTGAACCCAGGGAGGGACACTGAAGTCAGTGCATCTGGCTCAGGTCCTTGCTCCACATCGACCAGCTGTTCAGGGTCACTTAGTTTTTTTTCCTCCTCCTTATTTGGACCTCTTTTCCTCAACTGGAAAATGACTGGTTTTCCAGCTTTCCCTGTTCCCTTTCTGGCTCCAACTTTCTGAGTTACTGGAGACATAATAACGCACTCTGGGCTGCAGACAAAGTGCAGAACCTGCTCAGAGTCAGGAGTGTTGAATGTCAGTATTGTTCATTATGCTAATATCAGTGGTGGTTGTTATTTAGTTATGGCAGGGATTCACAGTGGTCAGGACTCCCTGACTCTGACAAAGTCCACATGTGGCCCTCTAGGCAAGTGTCCCATCACTTCTGTGGCTGGAACTTGCCCAGTATTGCCTCCCCAGTGAGCCCCCATCTCACTTATCTGATCCCTGGAACCCCAAAGCCCAGGTAACCACCTTTCCCTCTGTACCCACCTCTGACCTGTTCTTCACAAGTCTCTCCTTACCCCTGGTAATTAGCTAGATCCAATTCACACTTCACCTGCAGTAATAACTTGCTGTATCAGGTAGGCAATAAAAAGGTTAATCCAATGAGCCTCAGCACTGCATGGGATCTCAAAAAGTGGACAGGAAGCTAGAGAGAAAAAGCAAGGGTGGGGAAGTCCCTGGGGCTCAGGCGCCTCGGTGTTTGGGCCGAGAACATTTGACTCACCTTCCACAGCTCTTTGACCTCTGGTGTGGAAACTAGCACAGTTGGATCCGTGTCACATGTCATCGGACAGGTTACAAATAGCACCGGGATTAGCAAACCCATCCTGAAACTCCCGGTTCAAGGGCAGGGAAAGTTACCAGTTTAATTCCGGCAGTTCATTAGAGGCAGAGGACCAGGAAGGGGGCTCTATGGCAAAGAAGGGCTGTGTGCATACATGTGAGTGCCCAAGGGACAGAGGTGACCCAGCACAGGGCCTGCCGAGAGGCTACTTGACTCTCAGAGATAGGACTTCAGGCCTGAATGGCTAAGGTCTCATTTGAATGGGACCCTGGTATCTCCATGTCCTATTCATAGGGAGCTCACAATTAGGTTCTTGCTGCGGGTTACCCAGTCAAGGTCTCAGGAGCAGCAGGAGGTCCACACCGCTACTGGGTGTAATCGCCCTAGACCGTGCGGTGGCCTCGGCTGTGGCAGCGGGAACCCGAGGGACCCATTGTGCCACGGCCGCGACCACGCCCGAGAGGGGGCTGAGGCTTTCTCTTTCGCTCTGGGATCCGCTGCACTCAGCCCTCCCAGGGATTCAGCGCCCCAGGGCTTGAGAAGGACCGGCTCCCCTTCCAGTAGCCCGCTTTTCGTCCCAAGCAGCGCAGCGTGAAGATCGGGCAGACTGGGGGAGACTCAGCTCGAGGGTGCTGCAGCCTGGCGTGCGGGCCACGGGTCGTTGAGCCTTCCCATTTCCCCCCGACTTCTCCGCGTACAGTGTCACGCGCGCGAAAGCGGCCAAGTCTGCCAGCCCAAGCGGCCCCTGGCTCTCCGCTTCCTCGCGGGGTTCTCCTTAGCCCCCGAAGGGCAGCACCTGGTGGCGGCCAGCTCCTGCCGGCCTGTCCTGCTTTGCCTCGGCCGCTGCGTCCGCCCGGCACCGCCTCCTCTCTCCATACGGTGGCGGCCCGCCCTCAGCGCCTGGACGCGCAACGGGGTGTGCGGGTGGCCGACGCCGCGGAGACGGCGTGGGGAGGCGGACGCCGCGCCCAGCCTGGTGCCCACAGCAGCGCGTCGCGGCCGAGCGCAGCAGCACACAGCCTCAGGTAAGCTGCCCGGGCCCGCGGCGCCTGCGCTTAGGAGGCAGCGGGATGGGCGCTGGGAGGGCGGCAGCGCGGAGACGCGCAGGACTGCACTAAACCTGCGCCCCTGGGATCCGTGCCACTCCGGTTGTTGGTTGCGCTCCAAGCTCCGCTAAAGCCCACAAAAGTGTTTCCCACAAAAGACAGTTGCTTCTCTTTAGCTTTCTTTACGCACCAGAACTTTGGACGTGGAGAGATGCTGCTGGTTTGGAAATGTCTTCTGGAAAACCTATAGGAGTGTTGTGGGGAGGCAGATTTGGTTTGTGGGATGGGAATTTGAAATCAGGTTGGTATTTGGAAAAGGTCTAATTTTTTTTTTTTATTAGTATGGATGCCCCTGTGTGCCTGTTTGATCTGTAGGGAAAAGTGGAGGCACTGAGACTACCCCACACTTTTGGATCAGGGAGTAACATTTATGCCAGGTATTTATTCTTCTAGTCTGGGGTGGGGGGCGGGTGGAAATCGGTTTTGAGTTTCTTCTATTTTTTATTTTGTTAGTGTTCGGGAATTTGCCTTAATACTGTTGAAACCTTATGACTCACTGCAAAGCCGAAGATACCAAGTAGACAAGGAGTTCCTGATAGGACTTTTTAGCTGATAATCACCCTTATCTCTGAAACCAGCAAGAGGTTGTTTATAAAATAGTGTAATGCTTTCTTTAGATCTTTCTCTTGGCTTCATAGCAACTTCATAAAATAATAGTATTTCCCAGTTTGGTGAAAGCTTATTTCTCTCCTATATTTCCTCTTTTCTTTTGACTTCCTTCTGATTCTATCGCATTTTTTCCTGGAAAAGTACTTCCTGATATGTGATCACCTGTTAGCTTTCATTACCTAAACTATCCTTTGACACAATTTTGGTTGTCAAGACTGTCTTGGGTTTAGAGCCTCAGTCTTGAACTTCATGTGGCCATGGATATGAGTGACACAAAATTATTTTGCAGGTTTTCTTTTTTGGACAAGTGACTTCATGACTTTGTATTGTCTTTGCCAGTGTCCCACATAGTACCCTTACTCCCATTCATTGGAGCAAGACAAAATTACTGGATGATAGAGTCAGTTCTGCATAAACTAAACGACTCTTGAACAACTACTTGGTGAAGTGAATGCAGGACTTGGGTGATTCTGTGAAAGGTGCTTCTCACTTGGTTCCATAATAAGTCTTTTAAAATCAAGTTCTGTTGGACTTTAGTGCTTTGTAATGTGATTTTATCAGCCACTTATTTTTTCAGAGTCCAAACCTCTGTGGAAGTGGGTGGCACTGGGGAGGAGGGTGAGAACACCTGCCTTAGGTTACCTTGGAGATGGGGCTCCACTTGACTTGCTGTGCCAGACTCTCTGGGCTCATCCAGGCCCCTTGCAACTGTGTGTGTGTGTGTGTGTGTGTGTGTGTGTGTGTGTGTGTGTGTAGGGGCAGTGCAGCCCTAGTAGGTGTCTCTTGAGAGCCCAAGAACCACATTTTGACAGAATTAACTTCAAAGTTCTCAACCCCAGTGTATTCCTGAACAGTCGTTCCATTCTCTTAAAACTGCTGGACTTGGGTCTTCTGTAGATACAGTCTTAGAATAAAGCATGAAATGGAAAGCTGCCCAAGCTCGAAACAGGAAATGGAAAGTTAGTTACCAAACAAAAACTTACTGACTTGGAAATTCTCAGAGCAGCTATGATGAAATATGGGGCCTCTGTAAATCAGAAATAATCCCAGTGGTTCTTCCCTCGCTCCCCATTGTTTTTTGCTTTGAGGGAAGTGAATTTGTAAGACTCCGAACAGGAAAAGCCACACCCACTTATTTTTTTAAAAAAACATACTCTTATCTCAGATGCATGGTAATTGGATTTCCTTTTTTTGACCATCTTCATAAAATCACACATTCATGAGTTTCTGGATGCCATTCTGATTCATCAACCAACTTGATGTGGCACTGTGTAACAGTTGTATGAAGTTCTACCTCCTGTGATTTCTGGGATGGCCAGTGAAGAGCAGGGTAGGTTAGTAACACCTGGACCTACTTTAATCAAGCATTTTTTTAATGTTTGCAGAGCTCTGAAGGCACCAAGGGGAAGGAAACACATCCCACGTCACCTCAGGGAAGGGGCCTTTCCTGGCCATGTCTTCAACAGCAACGGCTGAGCCAGAAGGGGACCAGCAGGACAGGCATGTCAGCAAGCTCATTTTCTTCCTCTTTGTCTTGGGCGCCGTCCTGCTTTGTGTGGGAGTCTTGCTTTCCATCTTTGGGTACCAGGCCTGCCAAAATGAATCCCTCCCAGACTGCAGCATGGTACTGAAGATCGCCGGGCCTTCATGTGCTGTGATTGGGCTTGGGACTGTGATCCTGGCCCGCTCCAGGGCACGACTTCAGTTCCTGCAGGGGCGGCGACGAGGCGACCAGGCAGACCCAAACCAAGCCTTCATCTGTGGAGAGAGCCGCCAGTTTGCCCAGTGCCTTATCTTTGGGTTTCTGTTCTTGACAAGTGGCATGCTCATCAGCATACTGGGCATTTGGGTCCCTGGATGTAGCTCAGACTGGGTGTCGGAATCACTGAACCAGACAGAAACTGCCAGCATGGAGCCTCCAATCTGTGGGTTCCTTTCTCTGCAGATCATGGGGCCTTTGATTGTGCTTGTGGGATTGTGTTTTTTTGTGGTTGCCCACCTCAAGAAGAGAAACAACTTGAGTGTGAGCCAGGATGCCTCTGAAAGCGAAGAGGGACACTCCCACAATATGGAGCCTGTCCAGGTCACTGTAGGTGAGTGGCTGTCATTCGGGCACTTGCTCGTGCTAGAGTGGCTGTTGATTTAAGGCTTCACGGGGCTACCCTCAAGTCTGGTCTACATATTTTCTTCTTCTTTCTCACACGTTGTGTACGTACATGCGTGCACACACACACACACACACACACACACACACAAAACCCCATGCAAACATACACAATGTCACTGCTGTGGTGACCCCTATAGGAATCCTTGTTAACATCATTTCTCCCCAATGACTGTTATTTAGCAAAAGCATTGGGAGACTAAGTAATGAATTTGACTGAGGGCACAGAGAAGATTAAGAGGAAGGTGAGAAAAACCTTTGTCCACCTTAGGGACCCACCAAGTTACCCCCATTTCCCCTGTTATTCTCCTGCTGAGACCATATAGTACTATCAACTGTGAACAGATCCTTGGGTTCTCCTCCCTGGCTGTGGCTGGCTGACTATCCTTGATAGGTCCTGTAACCTCTCCTGCCTTAATTTGTATATCTATAAAATTAGCACCACATTTCTAAGACTCCTTCCAGCACTAACATTCTAGGAGTCCAGTTCTGTCCTAAGTATGTTAGGATGTTTTAAGGGGACTCTCTGTACTGGTTCCCATATTGTTATTTACTTTCTGTGAGTTCATCCTTGACTATGGGCTTGGGGCAAGGTTTGCTCATATCAGAGTGGCTGTTGATTCAAGGCTGTCAGTGACAGACTGAGATGAAATATGACGGTACTTCTTTCTCCCACAATGCCTCAAAGTTCCTTTTGGGTCTCCTGGGTTTTGAAGAAGAGGTGGATTACTATTTTCAGTGTCACCCCCCCCCACCCAGAGCAAATATCAGTACTTTTGAGCTCAGTTTCATACAACTGAGGAAAACCACATGGTTGCTCATGTGCAAATTTTTATTATTTTTGATAATCTCTTGCTTTTAAAAGGTTAAAACTCTGAAGCTACAGTTATTATATGAGAAAAGGGGTCCCCTGGTGTTATAGATGTTCTCAGCTTTTTTGAGGAACCCACTGGGGTACAAGTAAATTCATTCATTGGATGCTATAATTCCCTACTTGGGAGATTTTGGGTTTGCTAGCAGGGGAGTTTCTAGGTCCAGGCTCCCACCTGGTGGCTAGAATTGGGTCTTTGCAAGGAACAGAGAAGTAGGTGATGCTCTCGAGTGTGTGTCCTTGTCCTGAAGTCACTGCATCGATCAAGATCTTTTCTACTTAACTCTGTGTGCCCCATTAAGCCTGTGAAACTGGCATCTCCACTCTAGTTTTTCTCCTTGGAGGCTAGGGAGAGAGTTTATATCTTAGCTGCTATGTCTACCATGGACACTCTCAGTGCTAGATCCTAAACTCAGGAGCGGGTTAAGAAATGGCCCTGCTTCCCTCCAGAGGTGTTTGCTGTGACCTCACAGAGGACATCAAGTTCTGAAAGCCTGGAGGAAGGGGAACGCCAAGGGCGAGGCCTCTTTCCAAGGAGCACAGGTTGCAAGGTGTGGGTGGCAGAGCTAACTGACACTGGGATGGACATCCTTGGAGATAATAGGCTACTCTGAGCATTTCCTTGTTTGTTTTTGACAGGTGATGGCCTGCCCCCGAGGCTTGCTTCACAGGTCTTTTATTCTGCTTTGTGTAATTAAAGTGATCCCTGAATCCCAATCGTTGACCCATCAAGACCTAGAAAATTAAATGAGAATCCCAAGAGAGCCCTGACACTTTATCAAGTTGAGATTAGCAGTATATATGTCAATTCCAATTACCATCTCCTTGCAGAAATAGAGATAGAGTTAATGCATTTTTGAAAGGGTAAATCACCTCTGGGGAAGTGATCTAGGCACCCGGGTACAGCTTGCCAGTTGGGTGTGTTTCTTCATCAGGCAAATAAGTGCCCTTGGCCTTCGGGAGGGAAGGAAGCCCTTTGCTGGGTGTTAGGCCTGAGTTTGCTCTCTGCCTGGCCTTGCTGTAACCACTGGACACACATGGTCTCCTCCAGTTCTCCTTCCTGTTTTCTCAGCAGGAGGAGAGCTTCTTTAGGGCCATGTTGGGCTGGTCATTGACAAATGGGACCCACATAGCTTTTAAAGAATCCTGTATCAATACCAGTACGGGTGCAAACAAGTCTTTTCCCTACAAGGAAATAAAGTTCTCTCTTTTATTTTGCTTTGGTTTTGCCAGTTGACTAGAGGTCTTCATCTGACCTCTGATGGTGGCACTGCCACACATCTAGAATGTTCTGGGTAATTCCTGTGGTGATGTGCATTGAAATTTGAAGGTATTGGAATTCAAATGCAAATTAGCACTTTCTTGGTCCCTAGTTTCTCTTTCTCAAAACATGGGGATGTATGTATTCTAGAGTGAACAGTGGCCATAGAAATACAAAATACAGACTTTTCTTTGAGTTTGACCTTTATCCATACCTCTTAGGTGAAATTTTGATGAATTCAGTAATGGGAAGAAAACGGTTTTATTGTCATTTGTTCCAAGGCTGAAACTAAGTTGAGGAACTTGGCCCTTTACCCAACTTTTGATTAATTAAAACGATCCATTGAAAACGAGAAAAGTTTTACCAGCAGTAGACACCCCCAGGGAGGGAAGGGAGCTTGTTAACAAATGCCTCACACAAATCTTTTAGCTCCAGTTTGCTGTGAAACAGAAGCCATGCCCAACCTGCAGTGGTGAGCACTCTGGGCTCTGAAATACAGGCCCACTTTGAAAATAGAGTCAAAGAAACAAAGTGTGGTAAAATGTAAAAATATTTACTCTTTTAACAGTTTTTAAATACACACTTCAGTGATGTTAAGTACATTCACAGTATTGTACAACCATCATCACCATCAATTTCCAGAACTTTGAACTTTGCCATTATCTCAAACAGAAACTCTGTACCCATTAAACAGTAACTCCAGTCCCTTTCCCTACCCAGCCCCACCCTGGCCCTGCTAACCTGTTTCACTTTATATATGGATCCCACAGGCCTACCTTTTAGTTTTGGAGTAACCAGCAGGTGTTTTGATCTTTTGCTGTATATCAATGGACCAAGTATAGAATTAGTTGATTTTGCTCTTGCTAACTTGTTTTCTCTGTCTTCAAACAAATATTGTGTTTCCTCAGGTGACTCTGTGATAATATTCCCACCCCCTCCGCCACCTTACTTTCCTGAGTCTTCAGCTTCTGCAGGAACTCGAAGTCCTGGGGCAAACAGCTTGCTTCCAGCCGAAAGCCCTCCTTCTTATTACAGCCTTTTTAATGATGGGTAAGACTTGCCATTTGATCTTGGCGTGTAACCTCACAGGCCGAGACCTGAATTCAGACTGGTCTAACTTTAAGGTTTGGGCTGTAGAGTGAATAGTGTGTTGAGCATCTTTTTGCTGATGGCATGTCAGTATTGTTGCCTTGGCATCAATACTGCCTTTCAGGAAATTTTGGGCAGCACCTAAGTTAAATATGTTAAAAGAGGTTAATATGACACCATCTTAGGGCATCTTCCTGTGCCCCTAGCAGGGGCTGTCGCCAAAGTGTCTAATAACTCTCCCATCCCGAGGAGAAATGAATACCAGGGACTGCCCTTTTTAGTCTCCATGGTTTTAGATTGTGGGGAGACTCAGGGGCCCTAGATTATGGGGAGGTCAGGGGCCCCAGGGATCCCCAACAGGTCTAGAGTTTTAGTATTCTAATGCAGGTGCTTGGGTCACTGATTAAATCAGCCTGCACCCTGACCTGACCCAATGGTGCCCCTCCCTCTGGATGCAGTCCTTCCCTGAGCCTCAGAGCCTTATGACTGAGGGAGAGAAATGTCAGATCCACACCCTCCCTCACACAGGACCGGGGGAGTCCCACTCAAATGGGATGGACCCAAGGCAGCAGGAGTCTGGAACCGTGTGAGAGGGATGGGAATGCAGGCTGACATTGAGGGGATTGAGGGGGGGGGGGAGATAATGACCTCCAGTAGAGAGGTCCCTGAGGGTGAAGGATATGGAGACAGGCTTCTGGATAGCCAGAGGTGGGCTGGTTGGTGGTGGGGGGATAGTGAGCGTGGGCCTTTGAGGAAGAGTAGACAGGGCCAGGCCCCTGGAGAAAAGGGAAGTGCTAGAGAAGGAACTGCAAAGAGGTTGCTGAAAGGAGGAGGCCAAGAGTGAAAGGCCAGCGGACACTGGGTGGGAGGGGAACCTGTGCCAGGAAGGGGTTCTGGGAATTCCCAGGCAGAGGAGGGCTGGTGCAGACCCCGGCTGGGCAGCACTCAGGGAGCAGGGCACTGGTGAGAAAGCACTGGTGCTACTGTCCAAAGGGGAGGTCAGGGAGCAGGAAAGGAGGAAGGGTTGCTGGAAATGTCCAAGCCAAGTGAAAGGCTGGGGCAGGACTCAGAGATCTGTGGTCAGGAGAATGAGATGATGTACGTTTTTGAGCGGGTGGAGGAGCAAGAGTCAAAGGACCTGGTGACCAGGGCTGGGACAAGCGGCTGGGGACAAGCGCTGCCTTGCCTTCTCATTCTGTTTAAGGCAGYGTTCTACCTCCTTGCCTTGAGGGTGCATCCTGGGAAGTGAACAGCTCCCAGACCCCACCACCCAGATAGAGCAGACCCAGGTGGGTGGCCCTGGAGAGGACACTGGAGAGAGCAAGGTTGTGTGGAGATCCTTTGTTTTACAAAAGAAAGGGGCAGGCTACCTGATGAGAAAGGGAATGAGGTGACTGGACAGGATGGGGAGGAGGCCTTGGAGCTTCACAGGTGGTGAGCGGGGACTGGGGGGGGTGAATGCAGGAGTTGCCCTGCATGGAGAAAGGCAGGTTAGGGCTGGCCAGTTGGACAGTACTGATGATGAAATTTGCATTTTTTTTCCTTCAGTGACAAACTTTCCAAAACCATAAAATCAGTATTTAGTGACTGAAAGGAAACCACTACTGGGCTGGGGATATGGCTCGGTGATAGAGTGCGTGCCTAGCAGGCACTAGGTCCTGGGCTCCATCCCCAGCACTGGCAGGGAAAAAAAAAAGATAAATAAAATATGAATACTAAGCCACTGCCGCTGCTGTAATGTCCTGAGGCCCAGGTCTGGATTTTCTTGCATTACTTAATGTGATTCTCACAACCACCCTGGGAAGAAGGCACTGATATCAACCCCAATTTACAGATAGGGTTAAATAACCAGAACATAGCCGAGTGGGATTCCAGCCCAGGTCCATTAACCAGTGTGCCTCTCCGTCTCCCTTCAAGCCTATGGCTTCATTTATAATTTTCTATGTGCATAAGTTTTTTTTACTGGCTCCCATGACAAAATACCAGTAACTCAAAGGAGATCCACACCCCCAACCCTGCAGATGGCACCTCTGCCTTCCTCTTCAGGGCCTCTTCTGTGACAAGGAGGATGGCAGGAGGAAGGGGGCTGTCTGAATGTTACAGTCAGCTCTAAGAAAAGTGAGGGGTTGAGGAATCCAAACAGATCTATAAAAAGTAGATGTGGGAGAAATGACTCCTTAGACCCCTGCCGCCACTGCCAAATGCATGTCATGAAACATCGACAGGAACCTAGTACTTAAGGGTGTTGTTGTGTGAGCAACATGGTCTCTTTCTTCTCAGCAGAACCCCAGCTCCTGAGAGCCAGGGCCAGGCCCCCGAGAGACCACGAGAGTTCGTCTACACCATCTCTGGGCCGCCTGCCCGCTCCGACTTCTCCCACACTCCTCATCCCTCATCGGAACCGCCTCCTAGATACGAAGAAAAAGAACACGCCCCAAACACACCCTGGTCTCCATCTTCAGAGTCTTCCCCACCGTGAACTCAGTGTGGTTTTATATATAATGAATCATTATTTTATTTAATTTGTTTTTTTTTTAATAAAAAAAACAAAAAAAGACAATAGCATTGACTGTGTCCTCATTTTCCTGATATAACATCAACAGGAGTAATCAGCTTCCAGGTCAGATTCCAGTTGTTGGTGCTTCAGGCAGCAGGAGAGGTCTGGTGCCCTCCCGCCAGGCACTTGAGACAGTTTTCTCATTTAGATCGACAACTCTGGGAGACAGGTGCGATTATTTTTATTGGTAGATAAAGAAAGGCTTAGAGAGGGTAAGGAATTTCTTCAGGATCATACAGCTTTTAAATGGTGAGGTCAGGCTTTGAACCCATCTTGCTGGCTTCTGAAAGCCAGGCTCCTACCACTAGTTGCCAAAGACCCACCAGAGGCAGTTGTTAATGTTTAGCTTGCTCCACGGGGTCTCCAGTGTTACTTGCTTCTGGAACGGAGAAACAAAATGTCTCTCCTAATTTCTTCTCCTCCTTCTCCCTTGCCTCTCCTGCTCCTCTTTCTCCTTCCCCCTCTTCTCATGCCTCCTTTCTTTAGGGAGACTTTACACAGGGCGGTCATAAGCACATTGATACCCTGGAGTCTCCAACAGTGAAATTTCTTCTACTTGGGGTAGTTTGGCAACTAGTTTCCTCGAGGATTCCAGGAAGGATTTGCCTTTCTCCATAGTGATATCCTGGTACAAAATGGTCCGAACCATAGGCTTCTATTATAAGGCCACTGCTAAACAAGACTTTTTAAAAACAGAGGTGGGTAGGGGGATATGTATTTATTAATTCTAGATACAGTCCTTAAGAATTAATGACTCAGTATTTCTACCTGAGAGAAACTGATTTGTAGAATAAGAAATCTGTAATAATTTAACCTTTTTTTTTTTGGGGGGGGGGGTAGTAAAATTGGATGTAGCAAAAATATCAACTTTTCAGGGCTTTCCACAATCCACAATTCCCACAAGGTAGCATGATCCAGCACATAAGTACCTGAGAACAGAGTTCAAGGGCATCAATGCTATCCCAGTTTAACTGAAGTAATGACTAGTTTCATGTAAATTGCCGCAGCAATAAATCAGGATGGCCTTCTGTACCAGCAGTCCTAATCTATTTTTAAATTGGACATTTATTGGATTGAACTGCTCTTAAACTTTGCTTTTTTTTTTTCTTGCTGCTGGAAGGTTAATTATTCACATTTTAAAATTAGAACAAACAGTGGATTAGAACCACTTCCTTCTGCTGTTATTTGTTTAAAAAACGACCAAGCTGAAACTTCTAGGCAGAGTTACTTTTAAATATTTATGAGCTTTCTTAAATAATCAAGAGTCTTTAGAATGGCTCAAAATTAAGGGCATTTTACATGACAATAAACTCAAGCAGTTAGAAATGCGTAGGAATAAATTTGACCTTCTGGTTAGAGAAGTCTATCTGCCTCCCTTAGCGGGTTGTGCTATTCAGCAAAGGGAGGCCTGAAGCCAGAGTCCATGAACTTCCCAGCAGTGAAAGGGGCCTGGGGTGTGCAGGTGTTTACTGTACTGAAACCACACGCGGCACAGCTGGGTGATGCATGCCATCCCAGGAGATTCGGTCTTTGCTCACCAAGGTTCTGGTGGAGGGTGACAGCTTCTTGAGAACTCACTCGCAGATGTGTTAACTTTCCTTTTTATATTGAGGTAAAACTTGCAAAACAAAATTGACCATTGTATCCTCACTCCGTGTGTGCGTGCACATTTAGTACATTCATGATGTTGTGTGAACTGCCACCTCCCCTAATCCAAAACATTTTTATCCACCCTAAAAAAACCCTCCAAGCTGGTCAGTCAGTCCGCCTTCTCCCCTTTCACACCCTACCTCCAGCCTCTGGATATTTCACATCAGTGGACTCTTACAATATGTGACATTTTATGTCTACTTTCTTCTAACATGTTTTCAAGGTTGTTCCATGTTGTAGCACACATCAGTACTCTGTTCCTTTTCATGGCCAAGTGATATTCCATGGTATGTAGATACAACAATTTGTGCACCCATTCATCCATTGATGGACATCTGGGTTGTGTCTACATTTTGGCCATTGTGAATAGTGCAGGTGTGAGCATTTGTGTGCAAGGATTTGTTGGAGTGCCTATTTCCAATTCTTTGTAGGGTATGGATTTAGGAATGGAATTGCTGGGTTATTTTCCAACTTTGTATTGTAGTTTTTGAGGAACCCCTAAAGGGTTTTCCACAGTGGTACACCCTTTTACATTCCTATCACAATGTATGAGAATTCCAGTCTTTCTTTTTTTTTTTTTTAAATTTTTTTAGAGTTATAGATGGACAGAATAGCTTTGTTTTATTTTGTTTATTTTATGTGGTGCTGAGGATCGAACCCAGTGCCTCACACATGCTAGGTAAGCGCACCACCACTGAGCCCCAGCTCCAGCCCCTCCAGTTTTTCTGATCTTTACAAACACATTTTTCTTATTTGAGATAGTACTTCACTGAGCTTCTTTTTTGCGGAGAGGAGGGGTACCAGCGATTGAACTCAGGGGCATTCTACCACTGAGACACATCCCCAGCCCTATTTCGTATTTTTGTTTACAGACAGGATCTCACTGAATTTCTTAGTGCCTCGCTTTTGCTGAGGCTGGCTTTGAACTTGTGATCCTCCTACCTCAGCCTCCTGAGCCACTGGGATTACAGGCGTGTGCCACGGCGCCGGGCTTCATTGAGGTTTTAATTTACATTTTCTTAATGACTAATGGTATTGAATATCTTTTCATGTGAGATGCTTGTTTTTGAACACCAAACATTATCATCGGCTCAGGAAATCTTACAGATTGTTACTGGTTTGTCCTTCTAAACTCATGCAGGAGTTTAATCCCCAAAGTCATGAGTTAATGATATTAAGAGGCTAGAAACTAATCCTACTATAGATTAGAGGTGGTTAGAGGTGGGACCTTTGGAAAGGGATTAGGTTTAATAAGGCCAGTAGGGTGGACTCCTGTGATAGAATTCCAGTGGCTTTATAAGAAGATAGAGACCAGATACATAGATACACAGAGAGACACACACACACAGGTACCTGCTCCTGCCTGATGCTATCCAGCGGTGGGGAGGGGAATCTTGCCAGAGCCTATGCCATCTGGTTGGACTTCCAGCCTCCAAAACCATGAGCTAAATAAATCTCTTTTCCTTACAAGTCAGCCTGCCTCAGGTATTTCATTATAGTAATGAAAAGTTGACCAATATTCAAATCGTATTCCGGATTTTCTTCTTATGGCATTGGGAAGTCTGATGTCCCCACCTCACATAAAATAGGAATGTGGTCTGCAAATTCAAGTGGGATGACCTACCTATGGTGCGAAGTACCACCATGCTACCTCTAGACACTGTAGAATTCACGTCAATTCTTTGTCCTCCTCTGGGATCAGTTAAGAAGACTAACCTGACCAGACAACTCTACTGAGGTAAAACAAATTCTCCCTAGTAAGTTCTCTTTGGTATTTCTTCATCAACATAAAAGTGAAGGAGGAATAGGGCAGATCAAGGCAAGCAGGAGTTTGGAGGAGAGAGCCCAGGGGAAAGGCAAGCAGACATCCATCCAATTTCTACCTGAGATTTTCGCCTGAGAATGGGGTAGGGCAGGAAGCCCTGGCGGTTCCCTGAATCCTCACGTGGGTATGACTGTTGGGCCACTCTCGGGGTGTTGTTTTGAGGATTGAGGCGATGTGTCTGCTCATCTGAAGGGGGTTATCATCCCAGGGTAGGTCTCAGGAGAGGAGTGGAACAGGCTACGGAACTAGCCCTCAGAATGCAGCCTTAGACATCAGCAGAGAAAATGGGTGGTTCCTGGGATCTTCAAGGAGCTGCCCTTGGGGCACACTGAGCACTTGGGTGGGGTCTTTGCTGGGTGGGGGCAGGCCCTGCAGTGTCTCTCCAACTTTCATAACGGTAAGAATGACCTAGGAAGCTTGCTGAAAACCTTCAATCCCCCAATCCAGTGAGTTCAGGTCGACATTTACCATCTGAGAATCTGGTAACAGCACCAACTGCAGAGGTAGCCTGATTAATAGTTGTGCCCTCTAGGCCTTCTGGAGAGTCCTGTCTACAGCCCCAGCCAGGGCAAAGGGACCTTGAGGGAAGGGCGTGGGTAACAGCTGGTCCCAGTGCTGAGGGGGGCCTTCAGAGGCTCCTCCCCCCAGTCTTCCTGGCAGCACTGCCGATGACTCACAAGAATTCCGAGGGAGTAGGGAAACATGGCCAGGGTCATGCCACCGGCCTGCTCCTTTCCCACATGGGTGGTCCCCCTCTATTTCCAACCACCCAGATCTTGGAGTCATTTATTAAGGAAAGTGGAGTTTTATCTTTGCTTTCTCTGTCTTGGAAGAGGCCAAGGCTGTGCCCTATCAGAGCACCGATGATGCTTGTCAAGACAGGCAGAGATGGAAGTTTGTTGAGTTGCAATGGAATTGCTTCAAGTTTTGCAAATGGGAAGTAGCATGAAAACAGCCCTGGCCAGGGCTCCTCCCTACCCATGCCTCCCAGGCCCTGTTGAACTAGTGTGGATGAGTTTCTCTGGTGAGTATCCCCAGCTGTGTTCTGCAACTGTGCCCTGGAACAGGAAAGGAAGCCCTGATCCTTGGGCCTCGGAAGCAGGAGTGTCTCCAGAGGAGGGTGAAGTCAGGAAGCACACTGTGGGGGCAGGGGGCCTGCGGGGAGAAATGCCACTGACTGTTGGAGGCGAACCATGCATGGTCTGCCAGCCGTGGTCCACAAGCCTCCAGGGGTCTTGCATACCTGGGATTCCTGGAGTATCATGCATGCTGCCACCAGTCCAAGTACCCCAAGAGGAACAAAGTGGAGGACTGGGGTGCAGCTTTTCCTAATAAGGAGTGCTTTGTGGGGGAGATTCTGGCTGGGTGTACCATGTGACTGAAAATGCTTTCTGCCCCTGTGCGGTGACCTCAGCCGGGGAGGTGCGCTGGCCCTGTGGGCCGGAGT